GTTTGTTTGTTTTGATTTTCTGTAGTTTGAAAATGATATGCTTAGGTGTAGTTTTTTAGATTCATTCTGCTGGTGCTCTCTGAGCTTCCTGGATTTGTGATTCAGTGTCTGACATTAATTTGGGGAAATTCTTAGTCATTATTGTTTCAAATACGTCTTCTGTTCCTTTCTCTCTTTTCCTTCTGATATTCCTGTTACACGTCTATTATACCTTTTGTAGTTGTCCCATGGTCCTTGGATGTTGTTTCCCTTTTTTCAGTCTTTGTTTTCTTTGCTGTTCAGTTTCGGTTTCTGTTGCTACGTACTCAGGTTCAGAAATTCTTTCCTCAGTTGCATCCAGTCTGCTAATAAGCTCATCAGAGTCATTCTTTATTTCTGTTACATGTTTTTATCTCTAGCAATTACTTTTGGTTCTTAGGATTTCCATCTCTCTGCTCACATTGCCCTTCTGTTCTTGCCTGCTGTCTACTTTAGCCAGTAGAGCCTGTAGCAGAGTAATCACAACTGCTTAAATTCCCAGCCTGATAATTACAGTATCTATGCTGTGTCTGGTTTTGGTGCTTGTTTTATCTCACCACTTTGTGTTTTTTGCCTTTTAGTATGGCTTGTAATTTTTTTCTTGATATCTGGACATGATATACTGGGTAAAAGGAACTGCTGTAACTAGGCTTTTAGTAATGTGGTGCTAGATGTGGGGTGGAAGGTAAGCATTCTGTAGTCCTGGATTAGGACCGTAGTCCTGGGATTAGGTCATTGTCAGGTTTGGGATCAGGTATTCTGACTTCATGAAATGAGCTGCAAGTGTTCTTTCTTTTTTTATTTTCTGGAAAAACTTAGGTAACTTTGTTGCTATTTTTTTAAAGTTTGAAAGAAATTGTAGGAGAAGCCTTCTGGGTCTTGAGTTTTTCTTTACAGAAAGATTTGTTTCTTTTATTGATAAAGCTATGTTCAAATTTTTTTTCTTGTGTCAATATTTGTGCCTTAGTTAACTAAATCCGTTCCTACCCATTCATCAAATTTTCTGCTTTCACCAGTTTAGTTATATCTCTCATCTGTTACCTCCTTTCTGGGTTCTTTTTTTTTCTTATGGGTTTCTGCTTTTTCCTCCTCCTTCCATTTTAGTGGAGAGGTATTGAAAAAAATGTATGTATTTAATGTACAATACTTACCTGGGATGTCTCCTTATTCTTTGTATTTCCTTTCAATTTTGTAAGTAGAGTATAGTGGACATACTTTTCACTCTCATTATTACGAATGTCAACCATATTGAAATGTGGTGATACTTAAGGGATTTTGAGGGTTTAAAGTTTTTGTCCTTAGTGCAAATTGCTCTAAAATTTGTTTTTAGAGCTTGCTTGCTTTTTATAATTTATTTTTTCTCATTGGCAGTTATCATTTTCGTGAAGTTATTGTTCTTTCACTTATTAATTTATAGGTTCTAATCTACTGTCAGTTAGGAAATCACATGATTAGACTTGTTAGTATTGCACATACAAAACCCACATACTTTAGGGCTTACACAATATAATATCTCTTGACTTTTCACTGCCTAGTGGCCTTTTTGGTTAACTTGCCTGACTCAGTGATGGATACTAGCTGCTGGATTAGGAGTCTTTATAGACTAGTAATCATTACAGTTTACTGCCTTTTCTGTCTTGGTAATATAACTTACACTTAACCCTGTCTTTTTTTAAAAACACAGGTTCCTTTTACATTCGAATTTTTAAGAAGTTTTGAGGGATAATAATTTTAGATTTATAGAGAAGTTTCCCAGAAGTTGTAGAGAATTTCTGTATACCATTTACCCATCTTCCTCTTATGTTGCCACTTTATATAATCATAGTATGTTTGTCAAAAACTGGGGAATTAACATAGGCATACTGTTACCTAAACTGCAGACTTTACTTGGATTTCACTAGTTATTTCATTTATGTCCTTTTTCTGCTGCAGGGCCCAGTCCAGAATTCCACCTTGCATTTGGTTGTCATGTCTCCTTAGTCCCCTCTGATTGTAACAATTTCTTAATTTCCCCTTGTTTTTCATAATCTTGACAGTTTTAAAGTGTCCTGGCTAGGTGTTTTGTAAAATGTTCCTCAGTTTGGGTTTATCTGATGTGTTCTCATGACTAAACTTGTATTATGGGTTTTTGGGAAGAAGACCACGGAGCTGAGGTGGCATTTTCATGACTTTATATTAATATGAGACATCACTTTTGATGTTAACTTCGATCACTTGGCTGAGATAGTGATTGTCAGGTTTCTCACTGTCAGTTCACTTTTTTCCTTTTTCTATAGTGGACTCTCTGGAGGTGATTTACCAAGTCCAACATATATACTGAAGGGAAAGGGAATTAAGTTCCATCTCTTAGAAGAGAGAGTTTGTACATATATCATTTGGAATTCTTCTGTGAGGAAGATACGTCCCTCCTCCACATTATTTATTTATTCAATTATTTATATCAGCGTGGACTCATGAATATTTTATTTGGGGAGTTATAATTCAATACTATTGTCATTTATTTTTGCTAAGAAGTTGTTCCACCTTTGTTTGATGATTGGGAGGTACTTTTAGGTTGGCTTCTGTATTCTTTTGACACATCCCATCTTTTTTTAAGAAAAGCACCTTTTTGCTTTCTGGCACTACACAGTACTTTAAGCTTATCTTGTATTTTTCCTGCCTGATCCCTAGAATAAGTCATTTCTTCTGGGAGCTCTGGCTCCTCCTAATACTGGAGAATGGTATTTAGAAAATAAGATCTAGTTTTGGGTATGCTTGTTGATGCTGGGGTATCACTGCTCCTAGACCTTCTGTGGGGAAAGACCCTTAGCTGTGTATACTAACCCGTGGGACAGCATATACCTATGTTTGTTTCTGTATCTGTTCATCTGTATGTGTATGAAATAAATGTATGAGTTCATACTGGTATCTCTCACTCTAATCTAGCACTACTAGAATGAACAGTTCATTCTAGCTTTCCTCTTTTGATAATTTATAACTTTATTTTTCTGAGAGGGAAACATCTTGCTCCTATTATCTACTATTTATTTACCTATATTTATAGTATGCATGTAAAGAAGTTTTAGATTTGTTCATGATGGCTTGTTTCCTCCTGTTTCATGATATTTTGGGTTGTGAACTCATATTTTTTGAAACGTTTTGAGGCATTGAAATTTTATATTTTTTTAGAGAGGATTTATATTTGATTCTGTTGGTCGTTTAGAAGTGTTGGTGTTTGTTTTTTGCTTTTACAAAGTTTCTTTATTGTGAGAAAATACATATAACATTAAATTTATTGTTTTAACCATTTCCAAGTGTACAAGTGTGGATTGGCATTAAGTATATTCATAATGTTGTGCAACCATCACCACTTTCCAGAACTTTTTCATCATCCCGGACAAAAACTCTGTACCCATTAAAAAATAACTCTATATTCTCCTCTGCCTCCAGCCCCTAGTAACCTCTGTTCTACTTTCTCTCTGAATTAGCCTGTTCTAGATACCTCACATAAGTGGAATCATATGATATTTGACCTATGTCTGGCTGATTTCACTCAGTATAATGTTTTCAAGGCTCATCCATGTTGCAGCATGTGTCAGGATTTCATTTCTTTATGGTTGAATAATACTCCTTTGTGTGTGTGTGTGTGTGTACACATCACACTTAGTTTATCCATTCGTCTGTTGATGGACATTTGGGTTGTTTCTACCTTCTAACTATTGTGAATCATGCTGCTGTGAACAGTGGTGTACAAGTATCAAAGTCCATGCTCTCAGTTATTTTGGGTGTGTACCTACAAGTAGGATCACTGGGTCATAGGGTAATTCTATGTTTAACTTTTCGGGGGACTGCCAAACATTTTCCACAGTGGCTACACCATTTCACATTCACACAAGCAATGTATAAGAGTTCCAGTTTCTCCACATTCTCACCAACACTTACTGTTTTCCATTAAGAAAAATTGGCCATCCTAATGAGTGTGAAATAGTATCTCTTTACAGTTTTGCTTTGTGTTTCCCTAACACCTAGTGATACTAGGCATCTTTTCTGTGAGACTATATTAATTATGGGCTTTTCTAGCCACTTAGGTTATGAAAATTCTGGTCCCAAACCTGAATAATAGTGAACTTATGTTTAGAAATTCCCTAACCATGGGGTGGCAATACACTTTGTTTAGTTCAACCTAAAAACCCAGAACCAACAGCAAGATGTCATAATTATCCCCACTGTCTCTTTCTTCAGTGTTTCTATCTTTTTTTTTTTTTTTTTCTTCTCTCTCTAGTTCACCCAGTTGAATTGTTGCTTTTCAGGTCTTTTGGTCTTCAGTCTGACCTTTTGTCTCGTTGAGGTCCCAAACTTGATCTTCCCATACTCAGGTTTCTATCATATGGCTCCAGACAAATGTCAGCTTCAGAACTTCATTTATTTCTCCAGTTTCCACTTTTCTAGCTGTTTATGGCTTCAGGAGATTTCAGGCATACACTTAGGACATTTTTTAAACTCACAGTAAGCATGTTTGGTGTTCTGATCTGGAGAGTTTTTTTTTAACATTGAGTTCACTCTGTTGCTAACACAGAAAACCTTGGTTTGTTTCTTTTCTGTCAAAGGGCAGAGGTGATTGGCTGAGGTAAAGAAAAGGCTGGTGATCTGAATTTAGTTCTTATAAGTAAGGCAGCAGACTAACCAGTACTCATTTCTAGAACCAGTGATCAAATATGGAGATACAGAGTTGCTTTTTTATGTATTTCATATGTATTCATGTGTCCCCGCCCACATTTTTATGAGCTGCTTTCTCAAGGGCTGTAAATATGCAAAACAGATTTTAATGTGTTCCTTTTCTGGTTAGACTTGTATATATGGATGACTGTGTGTTAGCAAAAACAGATTTTAATGTGTTTTTTTTTCTCAAGAGGAAGTAGTCCCAAAAGGCAAGCAAATTAAAAGAAAATCCTGAATAAGCAAAGAGCTTGGGAAAATTTTATTTTATTTTGAATAGTTCTATTAATGAATACTTATCTCAGTTTGTTTTTATTTCAGCTTTGGCTAGATCAGAATCTAAAAGAGATGGAGGTTTTAAAAATAATTGGAGCTTTGATCATGGAGAAGAAAGTGAAGGAGATACAGATAAAGAGTAAGATATTTTTTTCCCCCTCAGATATTTTATAAGAATGAAACTTTTCATTAGAAAAATGATTTATAGTCCATGGAAATATTTCTACGAGTATGGTATTCTTAAGAAAACATTGAACTCTTTTACAGTAGCATTAAGGAAAGAAAAAGCAGTTCTTTTATTGGTAAATAATTTTGCTGTTATATTTCTCCATCTTTTGAAATGTGTAAATCTGTGCATGTAATACGTATAACCTTATGATTAAAAATTGACCATACTACTGATTTCCTAATAAAGAAATTGTTCTTTTTTTTTTTTAAAAAAATGGTGTTCATTCATGCAATGATTTGGAAAGTCACCCTTTATCATGAGTAAGTGAACCTAGATTATGATTCCTGAATTTTGTATAAAAGTTTAGTATCTTTCTTTCCAGTTGCAACCCCCCTCCCCCAGCACATTCATCTTAGATTACTACCAGAGAAAGCAGAAACCCTATAAATGATAAACACAGGTGTTGACCCAGACAGAAGTTAAGCAAAGTGTTCATTACACTTTGTTAATGTACTTGGAATGACTGCTGTAAATTTTTAAATAATAGTTTTAATAGAACCTTTTGCATGTCATGAACTTTGTATTACAAATTTATCATTTATTATTTAGTTTCTTAGTTTATTATTCAGGTTTTTCACTGGCCAGGACAATCAGCAAATTAAGAGGCACTCAAAATATACACTGATTTCTACCCAAACTGCAAATATTTTTTAGCAATTTTACACAAGAAGTCATTCAGAGTATATTGACTAAATATTGTAGGTGCTTCACTTCTGTCTGGGCAACAGCTCCGTTCATCATTACCACTTTATGTGCTTCACCTATGAGATGTTGAACTGAAGTGAAGTTTTATTTGAAGGAGAGCTTTGAACTGGTAAGTTTCTCACTTAAAATTGGCATTTTATGGTCTTCTTTCTTTCATTTCTTTTTTCTTTTTATTTCTGATTATTTTTAAATTTGAAATAATCTTTTATTTTTAAAAGATTTTAAAGATGTCTTTAATTACAGATATTTGTTATTTATGTAGTTTTGAAAAATAGGAATTAAATCTGAAATTGAGTAGACTACCTTTGAAATATTTTTCTACAATGTTTGTAGGAGAGAATTTTTGGCATTAAAAAAGTTGGTGTGTATATAAATAATAATGAAACAAACATTTTACATTTTATTCTAAGTAGCTAAGAATTTACTAAAAATAGCTTAGCATTATCTTCAGAAGGGTGTATTTTGACTTTCTTTGTTAGAAGATTTGTCATGATTATATTAAAAAATGTCTTTAAAGGTGCTACCTGGCTGTATGTTTCACTTACGAGTTGTAGTCTTTGATTTATCATTATAAGTGGATCCTTAAGAGCTTCAGCTTTTCAAATTTGTTCAGATTAACATGAACCATTAATCGGTCTGGTCTTTTAGAATCTCAGGCCATTGGTTCTCAGTGAAGCATTGATATTTCCAAGAATGGTAGAGATATAACTTTTACTGGGTTAATACCCAGTAAATTACTTTCTTTTCATTAACTAAGGTTTTCTTACCAGTTTGTCTCTTGTCCTCTATTTTGTTTTTCAGTCCTTTCTCCCTAATTTAAAATCCAAGACAGAAAGGAAAAATGAGTGACTAAATATGAAATCTGTAGTTAAGAAAACAAAAATTATGTGTGCATTTATGGCAGGGGACAACAAACAATGGCCCATGGGCCCTCTATGGCCCACCGTTGGATTTTGTTAATAGTTTTGTTGGAACACAGCCACACATACAGTCTGGCTGCTTTCATGCTACAGTGACAAAGATGCGTAGTTGCCATAGACACCATATTGCCTGCAAAGTCTAAGATATTTACTCTCTGGCCCTTAACAGAAAAAATTTGCTGATTTCTGTATTAGGTGAGCAAAGAGGATAAAACTTCTGAATTTAATGTACGGGTTGTAATTGTCACTTAAGATTTTTTCCTCTTTATTTTCTATATAGTGAGGCAAATCTACTCAGTGTAGATGAAGATGAGGATTCTGAAACCTCAAAAGGAAAAAAGGCAAGTGTTGCTTATTAATTTTTTTTTAGGTTATATACTAAAACTAATACTTAAAATGATTTTTGTATTTTTTGATTGCAAGTCCCAACCACCCACCTCCCTACAGCAGAGGCAAATGGTATTCCCAGTTTCTTGTTTATCCCATCAGAAATAATTTATTTATCATAGAGAAAATGTATATTCTTGTCCTAACTTCTAGCTTCTTACACTTTCACAGTTGGTAGTATATTGTACACACTATTTGTAATCTTACCTTCTAAAATTAATACAGAGAGCACCCCTAAGGGTCCATTAAAATCCCCCTCATTTTTTCATGCATAGGATTACATTGTATGGTGTACCATTTTTATCCAGTACCACCATGTTGAAAGGACATTTATGGTGCTTGTTGTCAACCTTTTTGCCCCCTAAAATAATATTGAGTGGATTAGCCTCTATATGGGTTATTTTGCACATGTACAGATATGTCTATAGGACCAGTTTCTAGAAATAGAGCTACTATATGAGGACAGGTACATTTCTGATATTGTTATACCTGATTTGTACTTTTACTAGGAATGTCTGAGAATGCCTGTTTCCCCGCACTTTTCTAACATTGTTATGAATGTTTTGATCTTTGCAGTGAAAAACAGTATCTCAGTGTAGTTTTAATTTGCATTTCTTTCATTGTGAGGTCAAATACCTTTTCGTGTATGTAATCCATTTATTTCCTTTTTGATAGTTGTCACTTAATATCCTTTGCCTACTTTTCTATTTGGTCTTTAGAATATTATTAATTCATAGGAATTCTTTTTACATTGAGTCTAAGACACAATTTTCCACATTTTTGATATCTAACTGGATGTTTCTTAGAATGATGGCATGACATGGTTTAGTTAAAAAAAGTTTTTTGCACTTCAGTACATACAATAATAACGCATCTTGTAATGTTTCCTTAGGTTGACAAAATATATTTTGGAGAAACTGGCCCACTTCTATGATACTAGTTGCTAACATTTTAAACTATTTTTTTTCCCACTAGTCTTGACTTCACTTTTGGGGGTTATTGCCTTGGAGAAAAAAACATTTTCTTATGTTGTCAAATATAACAATCTTTTTTCTTTCATAACTTTTGGGTTTAGTATCTTGGTTCCTAATGATGTTACCTTAGTTATTTACTTGCTTTGTCCTATCAAACAAATTAGTTTCACAATACCAATACAAATATAGTTACTAATAAAATGATTAAAAATTTGGGTTTGGTTTGTTTCCTTGCTGGTGGTGTTTCGTGGCATATCTCAATAGGTATATGAGATGCATATTTAGATTACTGTTTTAAAGTCATTTGAAGCTATTTTTTCCTGGTTGGTAGTTCCACCAGCTAGGTAAGGGTTAGGTTTATTTATTTATTTAAGCTTTGTTTTTCATTTTGAGAAATTGCTTTTTAAAAAATGTTTTGGATTTACTTTGCTTTTTAATGTAAAAGATGTTTACATGGTTCTAAAGTCAAATCTACAAAGGAAGTTTTATTCAGAGAAGTCTACCTTTTGTTGTGATTCCCTTTCTCCCTTTCTCTTCACCTGTGGGCAACCTGTTTTAAAAATTATATGGCTGAACCTTCCATTGTTCTTTTTTTTTTAATGTAAGAATATACCACCCTTCTTGAAGAAACTCTCCACACTGTTTGGCAACTTGGGTTTTTATTTGGTAGTATGGCCTGTAGATCAGTCCACATCAAAGTATTTAGAGATCTTTGTCGTCTGTTTTATTGCTACATAGTACTCCAGTGAATGCGTATACTATAGGAACTCAGTTCGTGATGAGCAGAGATTTTTCCTAGTCTTTTGCTATTATAAGTAGTGCTTTAATAAAGCCTTGTACCTATACTTTTTCACATCTTTACAGTATATTTGTGGGATAGATTTATAAAACTGCATTGCTATTTCAAAAGGTAACTTTACATGTAATTTGGCTAAGTCTTGTCAAATGCCTCATTCATAGGCATTAGCATTTGCCATTCCTGCTAGTAATGTAGGAGAATTTCTATTTTCCTGTAACCTTGAAGAGTATGTGGTCAAACTTAAATTTTTGCCAATCTGACATAGCACTCTCTTCACATGTTTTCCCCTCATAGTTGAATAGTATTTTAGGGATTTTTAAATTTATTTCTTTCCCTCTGTCTTTTGAGGTTTTTTCCTTCCACAACATCTGTTTTGTCATGATTTAGGGAGTTTATAGAATTTCAAGTTTTTTCTGTTTAGTACACTAAAGCTTTTCTTTATAAGGTTATTCAAGACACTGAAAAACTATAAGGTTTTATATGCTGTAGTCTTCTCTCGCTTTTATTTTAACATTTTGTTTCCCTAGAGTGCTGCTATTTAGGTGTTCTTCAGGTGGACAGAAATGTAATGAGTTTTGTAAGTAAAAGTAAAAGGTGGTTTTCATCATGATCTTTTGTGACATTGGTCTTCAATTTTTTGGGGTTTTTTTTTTTGCTTGCAGATGTACTTTTTTTTTAATAAAATACTTGCCTTAATACACATTTTTAAGGATATAAATGTTGATACTTTAAAATAAAATTTAAAATGACACTTATATGTATCCTGTGATCTCTAAAGATAATTCAGATTTGGTGGTATCATCTGTTTTATTTTTATTTTATTTTGGGGGGGAGGGGAGGTACTTAGGTTTATGTATTGGTTTTAATGGAGGTACTGGGGATTGAACCCAGGACCTCGTGCAAACTAAACACACACTGTACCACTGAGCTATCCCTTCCCCCATAATCTATTTTAAAAATACATATGTCATCTCTTTAATGATTGGAAATGTATATTTTCTTTTTTTTCTTAAATTCATATTTCTGATCGATTTTCCCACAGAATTTTAATATTATATATGTATTTTAACCTCATATGATGTGGTTTTATGCAATTGAAAAATCTTTTAATTACTTTACTGTAATAAAAAGATATACATTTGCTGAAATTTAACATTAAATAATATTCTTGTCACCAAAGTTCTAAGTATTAATTTTTTGCTGGATTGAATTGTCTTTATAATTACTAATAAAGTTTAATTTATAATTATTAAACCTATTGTGTAGAATTATACTGGAAATAACATCTCTTGAAATGGATAGTGCTGATGTTTTCCTTCCTTATTTGTGTAGTTCACATATCCATAAATATTATTTATTGCTATAATAAAACTTTGAACAGTGATTTTATTTTTAAACTTTTTTTAGATATAAGTGCTGAGAAATCTTGGTTGCATGATAAATAGATGGAGATAGAAAATTTTGCTGTAGCATTATCATTCATTTCTTTCCTTTTGAATTAAGTGTCAGAAAATTACATAGCAGTGTAATAAAAGTTTAAAAGTCAAAAGTAATTTGTAATCCAATCTTTAGATTTATTGTCCTTTTGAATTTTGGGGAAAAATACCAAAAAGATTTTATTGAGACTTAATGAGTGCCAGGTAGTTACTATACCTGTTAATTTTGAACCAGATAATCTCAGAAATAATTGGAAAAATTGAAATCTTATTAATTTTTCATTGACCTTTGCCAATTTTTTGTAAAATATTTTTTGTAAAATATTATATATTTTTCTGTTTTGTGTATTTAACATTGGAACTTCATTTTTTTCTGTTTTCATTTTTCATTTCAAATATACATGTTAATCAGCATCTTCATTATGTCATTTCACTTTATAAATCTAAGGTCAAAGAATACACAGCCTTCAGTTTTGACCTGAATTTTTTACTTGGTTATACTAAAGGCATGGCAAATTTCAGTCAGTGATTTTAACTTATGCTTTGAGTTGTTCTTACATAATTTTTTTTCCTGCGACGGTTCTTTTCTTGATGATAACTGGAGTACAATTACAAAGAACAAAGTCACTGAACGCAAATTTTCGTCACTTTTGTCTTTCCATTTTGCAGTATAGTTGAATTAAGAAAATCTTAATTTGGTCCAGAATACCAGGTTTCGAACCTATGGTTCACTATCAACAGAAATACGCATAAAATCAGGGAAAGATATGAAGCCCTACTACTATTTTACGTGCCAGAAGAAATTCCAGATATCAGTATTTCAAGTTTTTTCTTTCCGGAGGTTTTTAGACTCTAATGCAATAAATGAGAAATATGTCTTTTTTTGTAAGGTGGAAAAAGGTTTATTATGAAAATGGAGATGGGAAAGGAGATACTGTATGACGCCTTTCCTATAGATGGCTTTTAAAGTAAATCAGTTTTAAGGAGATGTAAAAGTGAAAGTTGAGGATTTAAGAGTTGATTTCCTTAAAACTATCCATGGCTGTTTGCCCTTTAGAAAGTCTTTGTATATCCCAGGGTTTTATATATCATATATATACCTGGATTTTTGATGTCTTGTAGATAATATATAGGTCTGTATGGATCACTGGTTTAAACTAATATGAGACCGTCATTTTTTTCATGTTCTTTAACCTGTATTTAATACATAAAAGAAAAAAGAATAGAGGACAAAGAAGGAAATCATCAAGAAGCCATATTCTAGTGAATTTCCTCAGCTCTGACTTCCAGTTCAGTAACATTTATCTTCAGCTTTGTTTAGTCTGTTATTTAATCTTTCCATTCATTTTTTTTTCTTTTTGAAAAAATTCAGTGACATCATTTGCAGAACTTCTGTTGGTTCTCTTTCAAATCTTTGTGATTTTCACACAGTGTCTAGTTCTTTCTTTACTGTTTCAGTTACCATTTTGTTTTTAAGAATTTCAGTGCCTTTAACATATGTCTTTAATGTCTTTAATTGTTTAATAGATTGGTAACTTTTGCACATTTAGCAGTCCCAATGAAATACTCATTCCTGCACATATATTGAGCACAGTGTTGCAGATGATAGGAAGCAAAACAGACAGATTTCTTATTCTTGTGGCACATATATTCTAGTAACTGGCTGTTTATTAGTTATTAATGATTAATGTTAAAATATGAGGATTGGCAAACCAAGGCTTACAGGCCAAATCTTGCCCACAACATATGGTCTTTGAACTAGAATAGTTTTTACATTTCGTAAATGGTTAAAAAAAAAATCAAACAAAAAGTATTTCTTGACGTGAAAATTACATGAAATTCAAATTTGTGTTCATAAATGAAGTTTTATTGGCTGTGCTTATTTGTGTAATATCTATGACTGCTTTTGTGTTCTAACAACAGATTGAAAGTATTTGGCCAGAGCTGAGTAGTTTCAGCAGAGCCTGTATAAGCCACAAAGCCTAAAATATTTGCTCTCTGGCCCTTTACAGAGAAAGTTTGCTGATCCCTGTATCATTGTTAATACTATGTAAAATGTATTCTGTACAGATTGATATCCAGTTGAGGGAAGATAGCTTTTTTTGATATATTAAAGTAGTTAAACAGACAGAATATCAGATTTAAGGTCTGCTAATAACTGTCCAATTTAAAGGATGGTTGTAAGAATTATGAGACTGTTACTCACCTAATGCTTGGCATTAATAAGTCTCCCATAAATAGCTGCATTATCATTATTAAATACGGTCTTATTGAACCTTTGCAAGTTTTCCTTCTCAAATAATGATGTGTTTATAGTTGCTTTTCTGATATGATTTAAGGCCGTGTTCTTAGTTGTATAATCGTGATTGTTTTGTGTTAATCTATCCACAGTAGTTCTCCTGATGCTGTACTTGCATTAACTAGAAAACTCTTCTAGACTCCTAAGGACGTGGGTGGAGGGGACGGAAAATTGAAGTTTTGGAGGGACCTTTAGATTGAATATATTATCTTCACTTTTAGTGGTGCTCTAATCTGTGAGGTAGCCATAAATGGTTTGATTTTTACTTATTATACCTTTTCCCCCCCAAATATGATGTAGATTACCAAGAGTAGGAGTAAAATGAAAGAAAATAAAAATTATTAATTACTAAAGAGAAGTAGATGTGTCAGACATCTAAAATAACTTATATGTTGTATTTTAATTTAACAGATATCTCTCAATTTTCTGGCAGCTGAAATTGTGTCCTATAGGTTTATAATTGTGTGAGAAGAGAATCTTTTACAAATTTACATCCTGTGATAGGAGTATGGAGTGATTATCTTTTCTTCTTTCTTTTTTTTTTAAATCCTTGGAGCTACTGAAGTATAAATGGGTAGTAGGGATCCTTTCCTAGGGGAATTTAACAATGCAGTAGATGTTTTTCATGAGATATCTGCAAAGCTAGAAGTACGGGTTGTCTTACTGCTTTTGATAGTAACCTATTGGCAGCAGAATTGGGAAATTGAAGAATTCGCCTTTTACAGATCTTCTTTTAATGATGGACTTTGGGTTATCTATTGCTATGCCCAAATGCTTTCTCAGAAACAAAATTTGAAAATGTATAAGTACTTATTCAGAAATATGGTTAAATTAGTTATGTGCCTATATACTAGGTGAGATAATTTTGGCTTAACCAATTCGTAAGAGGAAGGATTAGCTTTTTACATTTATATAAAGGATTTCTTTAGTGTAGTTTCTTTGATTTCGAGATGTTCTGTATCTTTTGAGTCTTATTTTGCCTCTTCTCAAGAATTACTATTTATATTTCTACCAATAACATAAAAATTCCTTATGCAGTGTGGTATGTGAAAGCCTAGGCTTTGGAGGCAGGCCAGGCCTTTGTTCAAACCCATTTAACTAGTTTGGACAAGTTACTTTGCTTTTTAATCTCAACAGTCTTTAATAACAGAGGGATAGAGTTTGAATAAAGTTTAAGTGATATATGGTGGAGAGATTTTGTTGAAGGAAGGACTGAAGTGGGAAATTTGAGCATATTAATCTTGTCACTCGGTAGCATCAAATAATTGATATGATGCTTTAGATGCAGTTGCTGAATCGCAATCTGAAGAACTACTGAAATGTATAAAATATGAAAATTAAAAGAGATACTGCATATATTTAGCATAATGCCTATCCATTATAAGCACTCAAATATTAGTTCTAACTATCTGTAGATGGAGGAATGAAATTATATAATCCGTCTTCAATGGAAACTTTTTGCTTCCCATATTCTTAACAGGACATGTATCAAAATCACCTACAGCAATGGCTCTTCAGTGTTAGTGTGTGTCAGAATCACTGGATGGTTTGATAAAACAGATTGCTGGACCTCATTCCCATAGTTTCTGATTTAGGAGCTCTGGAGAGGGGCCTGATAATTTGCATAATAAAGTGTTCCAAAGTGATGCTGATACTGCCGTCCTAGGGACCATACTGAGAATCATTGACTCAGGCCTATTCCCTTTTATTTGCAAAAAAGGCCTAAGTCTCAGTGACAGGATGTTCTAATTTCTCAGACGAATGTAGCTTAGTGACCAGTTGTTTATGATAAAATAATTTATGGACTTTCTAATTGAAGATGTCTGTGTTTCTACTTGAGTGGGAATTAGTGATTACTGAATTATACCTATTAGTCCATCCCAGGGCTAGACAGTCTGTATATATCTTTGTTGATGCATAAAATAACCCCATGATTACAAGGAAAGTTACCTGGCTAGAACAAGACAACAGTCCTTTTTGATTCCTAAATTGTTATCTTTCCACAATAACACTGTGTTTTCTGTGAAAAGAGGTCACCTAATGCAGAAATGATTGTACTTGCCTTCTAATGCAAATGAGTGTGATAACCCTGTTATCTTTATCCCCTATAGTTCTGTTCATGTTATCAGTTGCCTATTTTGATTTTGATCACATTGTCTTATTTCTTTATAAGCCTGCTTATGATTAGTAGATAGGACATATGAAAAATCACAGAGATAATTTGAGACCTAGGATATTTTCTTTCTCTGGAGGATGATTTCTAACAAGTGACTAGGAGGATCAAATCACCTTGATCCAGTGGTTCTTCAAATGTAATCCCCTGATCAGCAGTATCTACATCACCTATGGGCTTGCTAGAAATGCGTATTTTCAGGCCCATCCCAAACCTACTCAATCAGAATAAACTATAAGGATTGGACACAGCAATTTTTTTAAACAAACCATCCAAGTAATTCTGATTTACTCTAAAATTGGAGAAGTGACTTACTTGAACTGGAGGTTGAGATGAACAGAATCTTTATAGTTCTAATTCACCCTTGTTCATAGGCTATAATCCTCATACAAATTTTGAGGTATTTACAAGGCATTGCATATCTGGCGGATTTTGTTTTTGGTTTTTTTGGAGTATAGTTGATTTACAATGTTATATTAGTTTCTGGTGTACAGCATAGTGATTCAGTCATACATACATACTTATATTTATTCTTTTTCATTGTAGGTTATTACAAGATATTGAATATAGTTCCCTATGCTATACTGTAGGATCTTGTTTATTTATTTTATAGATATTAATCCCAAACTCCTAATTTATCTCCTCCCCCTTCCACCATTGGTAACCATAAGTTTGTTTTCTATGTCTATGAGTCTGTTTCTGTTTTGTAGGTAAGTTCATTTGTCTCATTTTTTTAGATTCCACATAAGCGATATCATGTGGTATTTGTCTTTCTGTCCGACTTACTTCACTTAGTATGATAATCTTCAGGTCCATCCATGTTGCTGCAAATGGCATTATTTCATTCCTTTTTATGGCTGAGTAATATTCCTGTGTGTATGTGTACGTATACATACCACATCTTTATCCAGTCATCTCTTGATGCAAATTTAGGTTGTTTCCATGTCTTGGCTATTATAAATAGTGCTGCTGTGAACATCGGAGTGCATGTGTCTTTTCAAATTGGAGTTTTCTTAAGATATATGCCCAGAAGTGGAATTGCTGGATCATATGGTAACTCTGTTCTTAGTTTTTTAAGGAATCTTCATACTGTTTTTCATAGTGTACTGAATTACATTTCCACCAGTCCATACTTGGTGGATGTTGAACTCTACATTTGTCTCCCCAGCTCTGTCTTCTGGGAGTTCAGCTTAACTTCTCAGCCTCTCAGTTGATTCTTATGGAATCAAGAGGTGTCTCAGGGAAAAATCTCTGAGTTTATTGTCTCTAAACTTAATTCTTAGTTCCTTGGTAGCCCTCAGGTGCTTCGAACAGATTTTTTTTTTTTAATTTGGGTTTTGTCCAGCTTTTCTAGTTTTTGAAAACTAGTAGAGGGAAGATTGAACTGTATTACCTAATCTGCCATCACTGTAAGTGAAGGAATCTGAAGTACATGACTGTCAAAGATTAAGAAGTAAAAATGTTTCATGGAGGAGAAAGCGATAAGCAGTGTGTCAGAAATACATCTTTTGGGAATACATCTTTTGTACAAAGAGTGTAATAAAAGTAGATTTCTTTGGTGAGAACTTCCCAAGCAAGGGGCCATTCTGGTGTCCTACTGTGATCTTCACAAAGTGATTGTCGTTGATATATTTATGCTGTCGTTTCCAAGTATGAAAATATGAAGACATTATCTCAGTTTCTGCATTTATATAAAAACTTTGTTGCTAAAGCCAAAGTCTTCATACAGTGACTACTGCCATGTTTGTCTGTAGTGTCCTACAGACCTGTTAAGTGGGGGAAATGTTTATTTTTTACCCTTGGGAAAGAGCTATCTTAAGATACTCTACCTTTATTTATCCCTTCTGCTTTTCTCTTTTAATTTTCTCAGTTACCTTTGGAGATATTTAAATGAAAGGAAAATAATACACAAATACCTGTGTTCCCTACATATTTGTGTTGTCCTTAGGGAAAAAAATATTCCAGGTGAATTGCTCTTAGAGCCATGCTGCTGCCTTCTCTCTCCCCCATCCCCATTAGCTGGTACATTTTTACTTTTTAAGTAAATAGGTTTTCAAATGGTTGTTGATAATTTGTCAAATGGTTGTTTATTGACTCTTTAATATTTATGCATCTTTTTACAGTTAAATCGTCAATCTGAAGTTGTTGCTACTAATTCTGGTGATCCCTGGAAGACATGTGCAAGACGAAACAAGACTGAAAGTTTAAAACCTTTGAAAGGCAACGCAATTGGACTTAACATGTTGAGCAACAATAAGAAATTGAGGTATAGGCACTTCACCACACATTCCTACAGAACAGATAAAGAGTTTGACACCAAAAATGACTACCTTGTGGCCAACTGGCCCAACCTATACCTTTCCTTTTCACTTTGTCAGTAGAGCCAAGAAGTAGAATGGTCCCAGTGTGTGGATTCTTGGCTTTGAATCTTGGGAATAGGGTTGACTGCAGTGATTTCTTGGTTCTGAATAAAAATATTGCTAGAATAATTTCAATAGACTAGGATTTCGTAAGATGAGCTTGCTTTCACATGGTTAGTAAAATCTTAGTCCTAATAGTAGAAGTAGAAGGTTATGTCTCCTTTAGGGAGTACTTACCAGGAGGGTCTTTTTTTTTTTTTTTTTTTTTTTAAGGTTTCTTATTCCCTTTCTCTTCTAGATATAACTCTTCTTTCCTAGTGGTTGTCATAGTGAACCACTGTTACTGATATAATTGGGCAATTACATGTCTCAGAAATAAGGTTGGAAATCACTATTTCTACTTTATCAATTCATAGACAAGTGAGGTATGTAAAGGCTAAAGTAATTTTCAGGCCAGTGAGGGTCAAAAGTAGAATTTAGGGTTCCTAACTTCCCCCACCACTTACCCCCCCATTAACATTTTTATTTTGGCATATAAGAAAACTTTGTGTAATCATAGTTTAAAAGCTTTTTTTAAATGGATAATCCCTAAATGGAGAATAAGAAGAAAAACTATATCTGAATTAAATTTATAATTAATATAATATAATTTATAATTAATATAATTAATTTATAAAAATGTTCAGTGTAAAATATTCATTTAGGATTCCTGGTTTCTATTTTAGTGTTCTACCCTTTATCTTCTTTCATGAACTGAATTGGAAACATTTCAGAAAGCTGAAAACCAATGAACGATGTAACATGGCCAATAGGTTTATGTATACATTTTTTTTTAAGTGGTGACAGTTTTCTGTATGTTTGCTCAGATTCTAAAGGATTTATTTTGCATATGTGTATGTAATTTTCCCCTGTTCAAATTATTCTTTGTGTCTTGACTCTGCAGTGAAAATACACAAAATGCATCATTATGTTCTGCAACTATAAGACGTTTTCCTCATGCTAATGCACAGATATCAATAGTAAAAACAGCAGCCCAAAGGTAAGGATTCTGATTGCCTTTGTTTAGTAGATACATACCGTTATTTTTAATAGTTTTTTACTGCCTTTTTTTTTTTCTTTTTACTTTGTGGAACTTTATTGTTTCCATTGTCTCTAAAGAGATAGTCATATATATGGAATAATTTCTCCATGTCCTAGAATTTTACTATTTTATATCTGCTTTTGAATAAATCACGGTCTGTAAGTAGAGACATTTTAAATAAAAGCCATTCTGTTTCATTATGTTCCCATTAAATTAAGCTGATTTTATAACATTTGACCAAGAAATCTTCAGCTGATAGTTTAGCTCTGATAAGTAAAACTACAGTTATTACTTACTTTCTTCGTAAGGCTTATAGGATTTCATAGTATCAAAATAAATCATATTATTAGCTTTAAATGTTTGAGAAATTGGTATATTTTCGTAGATTTGAATGTTCTCATTGATTGTGAAGGTACTACTTGAACCTTGAAATAATGAAAATAACAGTTAATGCTTGGTGTTTTTAAATGCTTTTGAGGTTTTTCATAACCAATTTTGGATGATTATGAAACTTCAGTTGAATTCAGTTCTTAGTTTCAAATTGAAGCAATTCTTAGGCTCCAACAATTAGAAAAATAAATTATCTCTATTTCTTGCATTATGAATAGTTGCATAAAATTTTTTTTGTAACTAGTAAAATTTTAAGATTTGGCATATATATGCTAGATGCTGTTCTTCATTTTTTAAAAATGTCAATCTAGACTACCACTCAATCAGAAAATGTATCCTAACTCTTGGAAACCCTTGCTAAATTTGCGATAGTGCAGATTTTTCAGCTTAAGACTCTTAAATCTTTCTCATACTTTAGGATAATAAAAAAACCTTTCCTTTGTTTAAATATGTTATTTTTTATAGTTTTCACATGAGATATTTGAAAACTTCAACTAAAAACACAGAGAAGTTACTGTACCTAACAGAAAATTGGTTTGCCTTACAAATCAAGCTATCTGGTCTATGTGTGGCACCAACATGAGGACAAATAATAAAAGGAGAGTGATTAGGGAAGAGAAGGATAGACTGTTTCTCACACACTGATCACATGATAGGATCCATTGCTAAGAAAGACCTGTCTGCTTGCTTTTCTGAAAGTATCTAAGTTGAAATACTAATTTATAATAAAATGATATATTCTACAACCAAAAGTATTATTGCTTTGGAAGTTATGTTAGTTTAGAATTATTTGCACTATGACTTATTCTCTCCATCCCTCCTTTCTTCATTCTTAATGTTAAAAAACTGATTCCAGTTTGGAGATTTGTTTGTGTTTTGTTTTATTCTAGGTTTTGGCACTTCTTATCCCTTGCCATGTGTATTATTACTCATCTGTATAAAACATTAGATTCTGTTAATAGGAAGTGGTATTTACTAGTAAAATATTGTTTCTTTAAAAAAAAAAACCCACAAAACCTGAATTGATTTATACTTAAAGAAATAATCCTGAGTGAAAACACCTAACAAGAACGTCAAGGGGCAGTAAGGAATACTGAAGAGTCATGTCAGCAGGATATGTTCTACTTCTTATCTGTCTCTTATTTATAGAGTAAATACTTCTTAGTCCTACTGCAGGGTGGGTGTCATTAAAGATTTTGAAGTTTAAAGATCAGTCATTGAGAGTTTTTCCAGTTTTTTTCCTTCAAAACTATTGAGTGGCGTTATGTTACATAGCAGGCATAGGTACAAAGTAGTCAAAGGTGAATATAACCATTTTTGCCTTGAAGCTCAAGTTTGGTTAGAGTAGAAGACAGAAACACAAGTAAACAAAACATTGCCTGGTGAGTGCAGTAGTAGAGATATACAAAGTATGTGTAGTACTGTTTACAGAGAAGAGAGCAGTGGAGAATTCACAAAGGATTTATTAAAGAAGCTTTTGACTGTGTTAGCAAGAAGAGAACATACCATGCTGTAGGAACCACATCTTCAAAGGCATGGAAGAAGCCTTCACCTCAGCTGATGGCTACCAGGCTTTTGGTTTTACTTGGTGTAGTGTTGGCATAGTTTTCAGGCCTCAGATGAAGGTGAACACACTAGCTTTTATAGCTTCTCTTAATTCTTCTTACTTTCTCAACTCTTAATTTGAAGTTAGAGGAAATGTCACAAGTTGGTAATTCACACACATAATACATCCTTCTGGGGGTGAGGGATCAGTAAGTCAGACCTGCATTTTGAATAATTTGTTGTTCTTCAGTAAGATAGGGGAACAAGTACATCACATCTTTTTAATCTAAAAGATATGAACAAAGATTATTGAACAATCAGATCAGCTACTATTTGGAAGAGTATTATGATTCCAGTCTATTTTCTCACTACTATTCCAAGTGTTAATTTAATTCATATTTAAAATGTAGATACAACTAGTGATGGAGGAGGATAGTATTAGTATGGAAGAAATGCAGAAATTTAGAAATCTTTATAGCTATACCATTTCCATTCTGAACTTTAATCAGACTTGGAAGAAGAGCACATTTACTGGTTTATGTTTTATTTACATTTTCACTTTTTTATTTTCTAAGAATAGGTAGAAAGACTTGTAAGGACCATAGGCGAAATGAATGTCTGCAAAAGCTTATGTAATTCATAAATGGGAAAATGGGCTCTTGGAATAAGCAAGATTTAGTTATTAATGAAAAGCACCACTTTGAAAGAATTTTTGAAGTCCAAAATCAGGTCATGGAAACCAGAGTCAGTCAGGCTATCTTTTTTCTTTCCTTTTGTAAAATTTTAAGAGCAGATATAGTTCAACAAGAATGTAAGTAGACATTTTTACAAGTCCTACATTACTAAGAATGTCCTTCCTCCTTGTTTTTTTTTTAAAGTTTCTTTCCTTTCCTTTCCTTTTTTTCTTTCCTTTCCTTTCCTTTTTTTCTTTCCTTTCTTTTCTTTTTTCTTTTCTTTTCTTTTTTTCCTTCCTTCCTTCCTTTCCTTCCTTTCCTTTTCTTTCTTTCTTTCTTTCCTTTCTTTCTTTCCCTCTCTCTCTCTTTCCTTCCTTCCTTCCTCCTCTAGGACAGGGCTTGATAATAAATACATACTGAGAAATACTGGAGAAGTGCCATGACTTATAAATTAGGCATCATATAGTAAATACATTTTTCTCAAGGATAAGAGAAGTGAGCATGGGTATATATTTCTTTGGTATTTTTGTTTTTTTTTCCTTGCTCCCTTGGTTTATTGGAAAGAACCAAACCTGTTTCTTCTACTTTTACCCTTTCTTCTACCTCTTTCCTTTACTCTATATAGGTGAGTTTAAAAAATAAGCCCAAAACAAGAAAGTACTAAACTCTTCTCACTCCTTGGGCACAACAGTGTAGAGTTGGAAATGGCTAGCTTAAGAATTAATGCCTAACTTTTGGTTTTCATTTTACTTTTCCTGGAAATACAACTCCATAAGAAGTAAGTCTGTAAGAATAGACTATAGTCAACTTTTATGTTTACCTTTCTTTAACTTACTTTAATAGGGGTATGATAATTTTCCCTCATTTTTCCAACATAAATCTATTTTACACAGATTATCCCTTTTTTTAAATAGAAGTAAAATTTCAAATATATCCATGTAAGTTTATAATAATTCTTTTCCTTACTATTAAAACTAATTTTAAACAAAATAAGTATTTCTTTTCGGTGTTTTTTCTGTAAAGCCAACTTGCCATATTATTTTTTCTTAATTTGGTAGGATTAAATTGATAATTGTGTACTTCACATGATAGGAATACGAGAGTTAATATGGGGACTTGGGGATTTTGTAAACTGTTTTGCTTCAGTTCTGAATATTCAGCTTCTTTTATAATAGAGAGGAATAATTCTAGGGTGTGAATCTTATTAAATTGAGAGGTCTTATGATTTTCCTCTTAAGTAATTGTTGTTGATAGCTTTTTAGATTTTCTGTGAACTACGGAGGAGGGTAGACCTTTTATACATTGGACTTTTGGTTAGAGGCCATGATTTTAAGTCCCAGGACTTTTCTTGTGTCCCAAACCATATATTGTATTTGTATTTAATCTAAAGCTTTTGTGCAAAAGTTTCAATCATAAAAAAAATTTTTTTTCTTACTCAGAAGCAAATACAGTCGGCCCTCTGTACCTGGAGGGTTCACATCTGTGGATTCAACCAACCACGGATAGAAAATATTCAAGGAAAAAAATTCCAGAAAGTTATAAAAAGCAAAACTTGAATTTGCTGGCACTTGAGACAATTTTCATAGTATTTACTTAGTATTAAGTAGTATAAGCAATCTAGAGATGATTTACAGTATATGCTAGGGTATGTATAGGTTATATGCAAATACTACAGCATTTTATATCCAGGGACCTGAGCATCCACTATTTGGTATTCATGTGGGGTCCTAGAACCAGCCTCCTGCAGATACCAAGGGTTGACTATAATCACACCTGATAACAGGATTGGCATCTAAAAATTTTATAACTTTCAGGAAATTGTATTCCTTAAAGACTATTTTCATAACTACTCTAAAGTAACATATTCTCAAATGTTGGATGGTTAAATAAAACTCTTTCAAGAATTTTCTATCTTTGTACGTCCTTTTTTATTCCTTAAATATGTTTAGATATAAATTATTTTCTGTACTGACAAACATTGAAAGCCAATTTACATAGCTGAGAAAATTCAAACCACTAGCCTATAATATATATATAATGTGTTTAAAACAAATTAATCACAGAGTTTTGCCTTATTGACTGCAGTTACTAAAACTACAATGATATATCAAAAATGAGGTCTTGCCTCTTACATTTTTTTTCTTTTTCATGTTTTAAGCAGTCTGGACCAAAAGGAAAGGTAAGCTCAATATTGATGAAATTAGAGCATGGATATAACAGTAAAATATCAGATTATTTATATGCTTTGAAAAATATCCATTGAATTAGAGTTCATCATTAAGCTTATTAATTATTTTAATAAAAGGAAACAGTAGTAGCACAACATGGTATTTGACTTATATGGGTAATATTTCACCATAGTTCTCAATATACATTTCTCTATGAATGATTATTATATACCTATACTGATGTATACCTATTTTCCTTTGAAAAATAGAATATTTCAGCATCTTAGTAGTAAAATTGCTTTCAACTAGATAACTTAAATATTTCTTATTACATTTTAGTGGTAATATTTTTATTTTATACTTTAGTAAGTGAGGAGAAAAATGGAAGTAGAATGAATACCTTAAGCTTGGAGTTAAAAGTAAATATCACATATATCCCCATTCTGGCGCAAAAAATTGTGACAAAATTTTATGATCATTCTTTGTTCCCTTTGTAATAATACTAGCAGACGCATCATCCTTTAGCAGAAATGTTGAATATTGTAAATAACATGGAAACATGTTTTTAAGAACATACACTTCTTTGAATGGTGAAATGGTTGTAGTTGTTCTAAAGCAAATGTCCATAAAAATCGCTTCTCTCCTCAGTGTATGTATGTGGGAATTTTTGTGCACGTGCATATCTTTTTTTCTTGCTTCCATGAGTTTCAAGAATCTTTTATGAACCCTCCCCCCAACAAAACAGGTAAACAGCCCTTGTATTAAACCAGCACTTTTATGTCATTGGTGAAGGTCAAAAGAAGTGTTATTCTATAATCTTGTTTAATTATGTAACTTTGACTCTATAATTTTGTGTAAAGGTATAGACGAGGCAAAGGGACAGCTTGCAATGTTTTATAGAATGCTGTATTTTCCATGAACACAAATTTTCTCAAATGTAAATTTAAAAATGACCCCATTGGCAAAGGTTTAGGCATATTTTATAATTCTGAAATACTTCACAGTTCTTACATGTTTTGAATGAATGGGTTGTGCAGATATTTTACTCTATCTCCTGAGAAGGAGAATTCTTTCTGTTTTTCTCTGAGAAGATCATTATTTCTTTCAGATGTAGATGAGTCATTTTATATCTTTAAAATTTTTAACCCATAAGGACAATATTTGGGGAGGAAGACCTTTTTTTTAATAAGATGCTTTTAATGAAATTGCTAAAGAATATACATTAAATAACTGTACAATCACATGCAAACCAGACTCCTGTATGCTATAGTAGGTAAAATACAGGTACTATTTGTTACACTATCAGAGTAGTGTAAAAGCCTTAGATTATTTTCTTTTTCACAGTAGCCGCGGAGGGTTTATACTGATTTTTTTTCCCACTGTCTTGGTTTCTTATACAAATTTTTGTAGTGGAAATTTATTCGTTGATACATTGAGCAAATATTTCAATGACTCTATGTGCCAGGCACTCTTCTAGGAGCAGACAGAAATCCCCACTTTCTTGGAGCTTATTTGAATGATATGGGAAAAGGAGTCAGAAGATGTATAATTAAGTTACCAGTGTTACTAGTAAACATATAGCTAACTCTAAAATAGGGATATGATACTTGGCCAATTTTAAGGGAGACTTATGAAGAACAAATGAGATAATAATTTAAAACTGACACATACACTGTAAAGTTAGAAATTTCTGTAATACTGAAACTGTTCGTCTTTTTTGTTGTTGTTACCAACATTACTACCAGGACCTAGACATGAAACAACAGCCATTTGTAAAATATATTATGATAAATACACCTGAGTGCTTTATTCAGCAACTTAGTTACTGTTAGGTTGAATTGAGCCCATTAATCCTTTGGATTCTTACCTAACATTATTTTATCTTTGTCAGAGATAAACTAAGAACTCTTGTGCCAGTAGATTTTATTTTGTAGACTTTTTTCACATGAGCCTTTTTTTCGTCCCTTCTTAGGAACTAAGCCACATTCTTTTTCCTGATCTTTGAAGAGTAATAGAAGATCCTTTATCTTTATCTCTTAACACATGAAGGACTATGAATCTCTGAACTAAATGCTTTCCTTATTAAGTGGATGGTTTATCTAATAAAACCTAAGTAGTTGTGGAAGGTTAATCTTTTCCGGGGTTTTTTTTTTTCCATTTATACTATATACTGGGCACAATAAGTATATTTTACATTTAAAACTAACCTGGAATAAATAAATAATGATGTTAAGATCTAGAGCTTGCAAACTTAAAAGAATTGCTTTTATTTTTCCTTGTTGTGGGTGACTTTGACAGCTTGAATGACTTGAATTCTTTTCTGACTTTTGGACAGGTAGGTTGTGAATACAGTGTATGTGGCAGCATCAGCAGCCTAGAGTATTTAATCTGCTATTAGAATTTGGCATTCTTAGATAAAGATTGTTGGCCTATTATGAAACTGAAGCATGTAATAATTTTCCAATTTAAAAAATTTTTAAATACTTTTATTATAAAAAGCATGTGCATATCATAGAGAATTTTGAAACAACAAAAAGGTACATATGTGAAAATACAATAAAAATTACGAAATACTAGAAACATTTACTTAAAAGGGGGTGTTTGAAAAGACAGGTATTATAGTGAAAGATTTTATACTTCTTAAAAAGCTCTTAAAATAGAAAATTATGTCGTTAGGATCTTTATACATTTCTTTCCAATATTTTTTTCTTGCATGCTTTTTAATATACGTAACGTATGTGGAGTCATAATAATAGTACAGCTATATATTCTGAGTTTTCACCTAACAGTATGTCCTAGCATTTTTCTCTTTTATTAAGTTGGCTTCTAAAAATGATTTTGAATGATTGCATAATAGCTGTCCTGCAGATATACATAATTTATTTACCCATTAGCCCTTTTCTGGTTGTTTTTCACCGTTATGTGTGACACATTGATGAACAACTTTGTTTATAAATCTCTAAATGTATTTCAAGGTAAATTTTTGGAAAAGGCTTCTTTGGGTTAGGTTACAAATGCTTTTAATGCTTTGAAAAGTACTGCTAAATTGTTTTGCAGAGAAGTGGTACCAATTTATATTAGTGTTATAAATTGCTGTCTCAGGGATCTGCAAATAAAATTATATTCGAATGATACTATCTTCCTTAGAATTGTGAGAGTCATCTAACACCTTAGAAATAATGAGTTTAGTAAGATGGTAGACTATAAGACTTATAATAATAATTAAGTTTTTATAAATTCACCTCTGATCAATTGAAGTATTTATTGGAAAGACCAGAATTTAATTCACAGTAGCAACTGAAATTAAATATTGAGTAATGAAATTAATGATGTATAAATCCTTTATAAATATCTCTAAAGAACCTGATCTGAGGTAGATACTAGTTTCATGGTTGGTTATTTGATACCAGTGCTTGTTAAAGTAAATTTAATGCAATTTTAGTTAAGAATCCTGGTGACTTCGATGTTATTTTAAGAAATTTGACCAATTGATTCTAAAGTTCATTTAGAAGAGTAAATATTTAAAAAGAGCAATAGATTTACTCTTTAAAAAGAAGAGTAAGTGAGGGAAGAGAAGAATGATATGTCTTGCCTCATAATAATTTATGCACACTGTGAAGAAAACAGTGACTGGATATGAAAACACTAGAAAAAGACTAGGAAGTAAGACAGTAAGCAGACTAGAGAATCAAGGTATGTTCAGTTTCCAGCTAACCTATCTAATTAATAAATATAAACAAGTTTACAGTGCCTTTCAAGTGCCTGAATTATGGTATTTGCACATAGGCTGTCAAATTAATACTCTGAATTATTTTATGGTGGCTCTGCATGGTGGCTAGTGGTTCAGTTTTGGTAACATTACCATCCTTGTACAGCAGTGTTTATACAATTGTTTGGCCTGATAAATACTCTTCTGATTACTTACTGCCTTTTAGTTACACACATTTATTCCTTACAAATATTTGTCAAGTGTCTGCTATGTTCAAGGCATAAGGACATAGTGATGAACAAAACAGACAAGATTCCTGCACTCCTGTAGTTTACATTTTGATGGGCAAAAACTGATAGTTAACAAGTAAAACACCAAATAATAAGTTCTTTGTAAGAAAGTGTAATTGGATGATGTAATAGAGAGTGACAGTATGGTTTCTTTAGATTGTCTATTCAGAAAGAGTCCTTACTATGAAGCTGACACTTAACCAAGGACTGAATGAAGAGTCAGCCATACCATGATCATAGAGATAACTTTTCCAGATAGGGAAGAGCTGGTACTAAGATATTAATGCAGGAAAGAGTTTAGCATGTTCAAAGAATGGAAAGAAAGACCACTATGACTGGAAGTTGGAAAGCAAAGGGGAAGATGTTACGAGGTGGGTTTGGCAAGGTCAGCTAGGACTCCTAGATCATAAAAGACTTTGTAAGGTGATATGAAAGGTTTAGGTTTTATATTGATGCACTCACTAGAAACTTTCAGGGCATTTTAGGCAGAGAAGTGACATTACCTGATAAATCTTTGAGAGTAAAAGTAATCTTTTGTATATGATTTATAATTTGACGCAATTAAAAACTTAAGTCATTGGCATTCAGTTAAGGCTAAGCATGTTCCACTTACCATATAGAGATATCTACAAAAGAAAATCAGTAATAATCTGTGACTAAGTATTCAAAACTATCTCAGGAATTAGGGAGGTCGAGGTAGAAAGGCAGAAGTAAAAGGAATCTTAAGACCTTTTTTGGGGAGGGAGATTGAGTGAGGTAGGACAGGGAAATAAAAGGATTTTAAAGACCTTATCCCCTTGGGGATACAGTAGAACATCTTGCTTGAGAGAAATAGTTGGAATCTTGATAGCATGTTAATGAACAGAAATATGCAATTAAAATAAGGGTTGAGAGAGGGAAGGTGACTATTGTTAAATTAGCTAGGGGAGAAAAAAGAAATGAATAATAATTGTGCACATCGGTAAGAATAGGGGAAAAGAGAAAACAGTGAAAACTAATTGGATTAAACCCAACTATATGATGTTTGCAAGAATCAAATAAAAAATAACAAGTTGTAAGTGAAGGGGTATTTAGAGTCAAAAGATATGTAAACAAAAGGAAAGCATGAGTAGAATTTTAGCAAAAAGTGAGATAGAATTAAGGATTAGATGCGCTAAATAGGTTAAAGGAGCACATTTTATAGTAGACACAGTCTATAAGAGTGTAACAACTAAACGTATGAAGCTCCCCTAATATATATATTTTTAAAGTTCTTGGTTAGAGTGCAACTGTGGAAGATTTTAATACATCTCTTCAAAAACTAGATTGATTTCAGCTTAAACATGAGTTTGGGATAATGGATTTTAATGGAAAATGAACCCAAACAAATTTATGAAAATTTACATCTTTTGAGATCAGTTAGAGCAATGGAACGATTTATAAAATGAGTTAAAACCAACTTAAAAAGGAAAACAGCACTCAGATCCTGGTTTCTAATACCACTCTACTAAAGGGAACATGGAGAAATGGCTGATCCTCGGGGTGGGTTAGGGAAAACACAAAATGATCATGGAGTATCTTGTAGTACCAGAATCCAAATAAGTATTTAAAAAAACAAAAGGGTACTTGCTTCAACAGCACATATACTAAAATTGGAACAGTACAGAGATTGTCATGGCCCCTGTACAAGTATGACATGCAGGTTGGTGAAATGTTCCATATTTCTGTAAATTTTATGTTGTGTATATTTTACCAGAATTTAAAAAAAGAATGAGGTCACATCAAAGGAACACAGGAGCCAACTGAAAAAGCTCCCAAAGGCCAAAACCGAAACAATTGGATTATAAAGTATAAAATAAATGGGTATTTATCCATGAGTCATGCTGATACATATGATTGAATAAATATTTATGAACTATTCTAGGATTTTTACAAGCTGCATAAAATGAATTGGGGGAAATGGACAGTTATTTATTACAGAAGAATGCCAAATAATAGATACAGATACTCCCCTTCTCAGGAAGTAGTTTAACCTCCGCCCCTTTGCAGCCTTGCTTCCAAATAGAACATAGAAAGGAGCAATACATAACATTGGAATGGAGAAACCTGGAAAACACTCCTTAGCCCAGTGATCAAGGTTAATATCACTAGTGATAAATAAAACACTGATATCATGTAACCCTTGATATGATGTGGTGAGAAGGGCACTTTCCTTAAAGCCTACAACTTTGGTCTAATCATGAGGAAAACATTGGACCCATGTCCCGGGGCATTGTACAAAATAGATGACTAACGTCATGAAGAACAATGTAAGTAAACGAATTACCCCCCGCAAAATTAAAAAAAATTAAAAAACAAACAAAAACAACAACAAGAAGCAGACTGAATGTGGATCCTGGTTTGGATTCTAAAGCAAGAAATGGATATTAGTGGAATCGCTGGTGAAATTCAAATAAAGCCTGGCATTTAGTTAATAGTGTACAAATGTTGATGTCTTTTTTTTGACTTATGTATGAGGGTAATGGAGGTGTTAACATTAGGAAAAACTGGGTAGGGGATTTAAGTGAATTCTGAATTGTCTTTTCAACTCTTTAACAAATCCAGACTTTCTGTAAAATGAAGTCTATTTTTAAAAAATACTTTCAGGGCTGAAGCCTGTATAACCTTTAATAAGCAGAGCATTCTAATGTTTTTCAAACAGTTCCACACAGAAAAAAAAAACTCCCCAGTTCATTTTATGCAGCTTGTAAAACACTGGGTCCATAAAGTGAGGTTTTCTTTAAAACTTTATATACAAAACATAAACCCTCAGAAGCAAAAAAAAAAAAAAAAAAAGCTTCCACCTGGTAGAAGACAGAAGACAGGGACAGTTCTCTGCTTCTGTTTGTTTTGAGATGGGAAAGAAAATCCACTGGAAAATTAAACCATAGCCTTAAGTGTCATACTAGTTTGGGGTTTGAAATGTTAGTATCTGTAGAGTGATGGAACCTTCAAACCAAGAAATTAACGTAAAATCTCATTTTTGATTGCCTAACAAAATTTTTCTAAAACTTAATTTTAAAGAACTCAAGATAGTTTATAGCCATAAAGTTATTTTAATTCTCTTAGCAAACCAATACTACTTTTCTTCTGACTTCTCTTAAATTGAACGTAAGGTATGCTTTTATTTCTGTAATTTACTCATTATAATATATTTTTTAAAACAGTAACTTAATTTGCCCTGTTTGTCTAGGGAAAGATGTAGTAATTATTGGATACAGAGTAGCCATAGGTCTGGAAATGTGGACAAAATACAATAGTGTTTTAACATTACATTACAGTATATGATAGGTGCTGGATATTTCGTGGTATATTCAGCGTGTTTGTTCATCATCAGCAATTCATGGTTCAGTGCACTGTGTCAGCAAAGAAAAGAGTTAATTATTGCAGCATTTTCAGTCCCTGCCCATCTGTGATTTGTTGTCTCAGATGATTTCTGTCAGTTATTATTCAATAAACCTATGCTTGCTTATAACATACCCCAGAATAAGTAAGTAACCAGGTTCAAATTGACAAAAATCCAAAGTATCTGTATTTCCAGATTTTCTGGCCACCCTGCCATATTATTTTCTTTATTGATAATCCTTAGTATTTAAGAATATACTGTTTCTGTTGTCCACCATTTTAAAAATATGTAATATGTAGAGGTTTCAGAGTTTACTACAATTGTGTAATATTTGCTTCAGATTCATTCCCTCAGTTGCATTTTATAGTTTGTATCTTAATTTTTCTGAAGTATAAAGTTATGAAAACTAGAGATTAAAAACTTGATCATTTGGTTTAAACGTAAGACTGTATTATATCCTTTTTAGTGTAAAAGTGTATAGAATATCAAAATGTGTGTTTTAAAGCTTAATATAGTTAGGAGCTGAAAACCTACCTTCTTTTTCATGGCACTAGTATTTCAATTTGTAAGGCAGATTCTCTTCACAATATATATCCTCACGAATCTTACAATTTTGGCAGTGTGGAAATTACCCAGTTGTACCAAATGCTGCTCAATAATGATAAAAAAAAACATTACTCATCAATATTGATGCCATCTGCCAGGATTCAGATTCTGGTGTTGCCATTTAATAGTTTTGTGACCGTGGGCAGGTTAATTAACCTTATTGTGCCTCAGTTTCCTCATCTACAAAGTGCTAATAATAGTACATACTTTATAAAGTTATTGTGAGGATTAAAATAATGAATAGATACAAAGCACTTAGAACAGTACCTGGCACATGTTGCTCACTATTTGCTAATGGTTGTCACAAAAACACTATTATCACTACTCTTATTATTTTCTTGTGTAACTTTCATATTTTGGTTTCAATTTAGGTGCTTTGACTATCACAGTATAAGACTATGAAATCCTTACAGGAAAACTCCTTTAGGATTTTTAATTAATTAATTAATTTAATTATATTGCCCTGTGATACCAATCACTAGTTTGAATGGATTTACAAATAACAAAGTAACCTCTTATACCCAAGTTAAATAAAATGGAAGTATTTTTAGGAACTTTTATTTAGGATGGGAAAATACTGTTTAGCTCCCTGGTCTATTGCATTTTTTGCAGATCTCTTCAATGCTTTTATCCCACAATTAGCTATAGATTTTTTGCTTTTCTTCCAAACTAGTGTATATTTCGACTCATACAATATTTTAGGATTCCTATTTACTAAGGACAGTGTTCAAAATCCTGAAATTTGATTGTATATAAAGTCTGAAATGTAATTTAATATATTTTTTAAAATGTAATTATATCCCCATAATGTAGTCATGTTATATTACAAGACCAAAGTACTTGTTTCATAATTGCTAGTTTTGTATATAACATTTTTGTACTGATTTTGAAATTATCCTCAAAACCAATACGTTACTTGCTATTTATTTCTTTATTCATTGATTTTTTTTAAACAACTAGAAGTATTTACAGCAAAATGGGGCAAATTGAGTATCTAATATAAGCTGAGTAATTTTTTAATTCCAGTGAAATACTACGATTTTCTTCCCCAAAATATTTATACTGATTATGAAGGTGGTTCCAACCTAAAGTTTTCTACATTTGGGAAGTAAACATACAGCTTTCCAAAGTGACTTTTGAAAGGACAAATATTTGGATTCATTTAGTAAATATTTATTTGAAAGACTGCCCACTGTGGGCTCTCACAGATTGCCAGTCTAAATAAAATATAGTCACTGCCCTTAGGGATCTTATAGTGCATTAAGCTTTAGTATATTTGTGTACCATAGTCCTATTATAGTACCACTTTCTTATGGCAGAGAAGCTATGGTTTGCTTTTAATAAACGTATTGTAAATATTCCCTCAACTTTTTCATATTAAGTAATTTTTTCTGTTAGAATAAAACTATATAAATTTCCTTTTCTAGGAAAGAATACCCACCTCATGTCCAAAAATTTGAAAGTAATCCTGTAAGGTTAAGTCGGCCCCAAGGTATTGGTAAGTGTTCAGTTTTATTTGTTACACCTCTGAAGGGTTCTGAGTAGTTATGTGAAAGGTAGAAATAGGGATATGACACCTGCTTTAGAATATTCCCAGGTATAATAGAAATATATAGACCCATTTTTTATAATTGATTTTAAGTATTTAATTGTGACCTAAAATCATTAGGGAATGATTCAGGGAGTACACATTCAAGTGCTTACAGTTTGAAATCTTTTTGATCATATTAGCGTCTTTGTTAAATTCATGATCCAAATATTAACTCTAGATGGATTATAGCTTTAAAATTGTGTTTTGTTGAACTATGCTATGATTTTGTATTATATAATTTTCTTTTATTTACATTTTTCAGTTTTATTAGGTAGAATTGTTACAGTTTTTACATGTACAATGTATTGCATGTAAAGACATATACATAGTATATGGCACATATTTACATATATGTAAATTTAAAAATTCATTGTTTCTAAAAATGTTCAGAGCTTTAGCATTTTGAACTTACATAGTTATCATATTTTCTTGATTAAAATGATTTTGATCCTAAAATTAAAAATACATTAGGCAGTCACTGAATTTAAAAAGTGACCATACCTGACATAAGTGTGTTAACAGTAAATGTTTGAAAATTGTTGAGTAGAAATTTACATTTGCATTTAAATAATTTTTAAAACACTGATATATTAATGCAAAAATAAAATAAGAGCATATAGCATTTATGAACAATGTTTCACCATCAAATTGATATTCATCATCTAGAATTCTAGAATAGTGATTCTTTTTTTCCCCCTGTAATGGACATGCTAGAGATTGAACTCAGGGCCTCCTGCGTGCTAGTTAAGCACATGCTGTACCACTGAGTTATTACCCTCCCTCTTAGAATAGTAAATCTTAATATGTGTGTCCATCTGTTTTTTTCTAGGAGTTTGCTTGTTTATTTTTTTGCTTTTTAAAAAAATTGAAGTATAGTTGATTTACAGTATTATATTAGTTTCAGGTTAATAGCATTGTGATTCAGTATTTTTATAGATTATACTTCATTAAAAGTTAGTACAAGATAATGGCTATAATTCCCTGTGCTGTAGAATATATACTGGTTGCTTATCTATTTTATACATAAAAGTTTGTATCTTTTTCTTTTCTTTACTGAAGTATAGTTGATTTACAGTGTTGTGCTAGTTTTAGGTGTATAGCAAATGGATCAGTTATATATACATATATACACACACACAGAAATCTGTTCTTTTTCAGGTTCTTTTCCATTGTAGGTTTTTACAAGATACTGAATATAGTTCCCTGTGCCATACAGTAGGCCCGTGTTGGTTATCTATTTTACATTTGTTAATCCTACACTCCTAATTTATCCTTACCCCTCTTTTCCCCTTTGGTAACTATAAATTTGTTTTCTATGTCTGTGAGTCTCTTTCTGTTTTGTAAATAAGTTCATTTGTACCATATTTTTTTAGATTCCACATGTAAGTGATATCTTACGATACTTGGCTTTCTCTATCTGACTTACTTTACTTAGTATGATGATTTCCGGTTCCATCATGTTGCTGCAAATGACATTGTTTCATTCCTTTTTATGGCTGAGTAATATTTCATTGTACATATACCACATCTTCTTTATTCGTTCATCTCTTGATGGGAATTTAGGCTGCTTCCATGTCTTGGCTATTGTAAACAGTGCTACTATGAATATTGGGGTGCATGTATTTTTTTCAAATTAGAGTTATCTCTAGATACATCCCATGCGTGGGATTGATGGATCATTTGGTAAGTCTGTTTTCAGTTTTTTAAGGAACCTCCTTACTGTTCCCCATAGCAGCTACAGCAAATTATAATCCCACCAACAGTGTAGGAGAGTTTCCTTTTCTCCACACCCTCTCCAGCATTTATTATTTGTAGACTTTTTGATGATGGCCACCTGACCAGTGTGCAGTGATACTTCATTATAGTTTTCAGTTGTATTTCTCTGATAATCAGCAGTGTGGAGCATCTTTTCATGTACCTTTTGGACATCTGTATGTCTTCTTTGGAGAAATGTCTATTTATATTTTCTGCCCATTTTTTGATTGGGTTGTTTTTTTTTATATTGATTGTATGAGCTATTTGTGTATTTTGGAAATTAGTCCTTTGTTGGTCACATTGTTTGCAAATATTTTCTCCCATTCTGTAGATTGTCTTTTTGTTTTGTTGATAGTTTCCATTACTTTGCAAAAACTTTTATGTTTTATTAGGTCCCATTTGTTTATTTTTGTTTTGATTTCCTTTACTCAGTGAGACAGAGCCAAAAAATATTGCTGTGATTTATGTTTTCCTCTAGGAGTTTAGGTCTTTAATCCATTCTGAATTCATTTTTGTATATAGTGTTAGAGAGTGTTCCAATTTCATTATTTTACATGTAGCTGTCCAGTTTTCCCAGCAGCACTTATTGAAGAGACTGTCTTTTCTCCATTGTATATTCCTGCCTTCTTTGTCGTAGATTTATTGACCATAAGTATGTGGGTTTATTTCTGGACTCTATCCTGTTCCATTCATCTGTATGTCTGTTTTTTGCCAGTACCATTCTGTTTTGATTACTGTAGCTTTATAGTATAGTCTGAAGTCGAAGAGCCTGATCCCTCCAGCTCTATTCTTTCTCAAGATTGTTTTGGCTATTTGGGGCCTTTTGTGATTCCATACAAATATAATGATATTTTTTGTTCTAGTTCTGTGAGAAATGCCATTGGTATTTTGATAGGGATTGCCTTGAATCTATAGATTGCCTTGGGTAGCATGGTCTTTTTAACAATATTGATTTTTACAGCCTAAGAACACAGTGTATCTTTTCATTCGTTTATGTCATCTTCAATTTCTTTCATCAGTGTCTTAAACTTTTTGGAGTACAGGTCCTTTGCCTC